CATTTAAATGTCGTATTTTGCAAAAATGATTCATTTTGTCCACCAGTGTGACATTATAAACATATTTTCTATTTTATCTTACAGATCGAAAAATCGAGAACTACAACATATAAATATCGTGAGTTTGATTATAATTATTGAAATCAAATAAATGAAAAAGCAGTCACAATAACATTTATAGAGAACCTTTTCTGAACTTTTTGTAGCAATTATTTTTTGAATATGAAGTTGTTAATATCTGAAATTAAAATATGGAAATTTTGGAAGATAGTTCTAGTTCTATTGATTTAGTTATGAGTTTAGATAAGCAACCATAAAACCTACCAAGAGCGAGTCGGACTCGCGCATGAAATGTTCCGTACAAATATCATGTCTGTTGCATAGGAGCATTTAATTTTTTTTTCTGTTTTTTAGTATTTTTTGCTATAGCAGCAAAAGAAATACATAATCTATGAAAATTTAAACTGTCTAACAACACGGTACATGATTTACAGCCTTGTGACAGACGGACAGACAGACAGACAGCGGAGTCTTAATAATAGGGTCCCGTTTTACTTACAGGCCTAATAGGCCTAAATACTAATAGGCCTTACTTAGAATCCATTTGTTTCTGAAAATCTGGTACCAAGAGTCGAGTCGGCAGACCGTTTTTAGTCTAGTCAGCTTTTCCCACAACCAATAAAATATGCCAAGTAAAAACTAGACATCAATGAGTAATGATAATACTTTGTAAAATAAAGGAAAGGTTCGTGTAAAGTCTAACGACTATTCCAACATGTAGAGATTGCAGCTTAAAAATCGCTGCGCATGACATTCGCCACTCAAAGCACCGGCGATCTGCAAATAGAATGACGGAGGAAGAGACGTCTCATTAAGGCAACAATGCTCGAGTGCGGGGCGGACCAATCGCATTGATATTCCAACGCGAACAATAGAGCCGCCGGTATATCACGGTGCGCGGGCGCCGGGGCCGACCGACGGTGACTCCGCCCCTGCCGCGCCACGCCCCTAAAGCTCGAGATGCTGCGTACGTGATTTATGCCGTGATCTCTCTACGGAACCCGACAAACTGCCAAAGCTCGAGCTCGACTCGAGCTTAAAGCGCGCAGCAGTCCCGAATGCCGCATGCGGCGTCCCTTAGTGGGTGAAAGTTTGCGTTTTCGAAGGGAATTACGTTTCTTGCAGTGCCGAGGTGCGAACAAATTTGCAACGGATTCGAATGACGCTTTTTACACTAGCTGATTTATTTCAGTGGCGTGCGAGCTTTTTCCAAGTAAACGTTTACCTTACTTGAATGCAATATAGGTGCTAATTCAAACTTATATTACATGAGAAGCTAAATGTTTCGTAAAATCTGTATTTTTTTTTACTTAAATTTCAACTTAAGCGGGATTATATTGATTGTTTATAAAAAAAAGAAAGTTTATTTGAAAAAGAAAATTTATCGACACCAATTTAAACTACATAATTACGTAAAATATAAAAAAAACTGACATTTCTGTTTATCTTAGTCAAATACTTTATAAAATGATTTTCATAGAAACACATAATTTCAAATAACACAATTAAATTAAACAATTTATTTACTTGGTTATTAATAAAATAATAAACAAAGCAAATAAATTATTCAACAATTATAATACAAAATCGATAGTTTTTAGATTTCTGTTCATTGTACTCTAAAAGTAGCAGAAGGTTATTTAGCTACACAAATGGATGAGAAGAGTCTTGAAAAAGACCGGCGTGGAGTGGAAATATTACATTTCTGCGTTTCGAGTTGTTAATGAGGTAATCTCGCTGAGGTAAATTCACAACTCGTGCCCCCCTTTTAAGTTTGACAACCTATCTGCAACTCTGAAAGTGTTGTTGAGATGACCGTGAATGATCGATAATAACGTCATTAGAACCATGTATTTGATTACCATGTTCTCATAAAAACCATCTCTGCATTGAAACACAATTGTTAGATACTTTTACAAATAACCATATTGCTGGAAACAAGTATGGAACATGTAAACCAAAAGACTTGACCTGGGGAGAAAAGTCTGATAACAGATAATTTCTTACATTTATGTGAACACTACACATTACTAAATGAAATTATGTTACGGATTTATCGTGTTTAATCTTACTATGGGAGAAACTGTCCCGTGACTATGAACGTTGTAAAGTGTTCGAAACGTCGGAAATTAAAATTAAAAATGAATGCGAAAAATCAGTAAAACATTTGACTCTTTCAACCTTTATTCGTGAGTAAATTCATCGATCCATGAAACCCGAAAATAGTTTCATGTATATGTTATGATTTGTAAAATTATTCGATAAAGTAATCCTTACTAATATTATAAAGGTGAAAGTTTGTACGGATGAATGCATGTTTGTTACTCTTTCACACAAATACTACTGAATGGATTTTAATGAAACTTTACAATAATATAGCTAATATCTGATATACATCAGAATAAGACATAGGCTATAATTTGTATACATATTTTATGTATGTCTTTCTGTCTTAACTTTACACCTTCAGCCTATTCTACGCAGACGTAGTCGCGGGCAGCAGTAAGTATAAATACATTCTTTTCCTAAGGTTTCGTATCATTTTATTGCACATCGATTGTTATTATGTTTCTAACGAATTTACTGTAATGTTACAATATGGCAGAGGTAGATATTCCAAAACGTTAATTGTTAAATTTAAAAGTGATACTACTTTTACGGTGGTAGGGCCAGGCAGCAGCCTTGGCTGTTGCATGAATGGGCAGGCCCGTCCGGGTAAGTACCACGACCTCACAGAAGACCAGCGTAAAGTGGAAGTATGACAAATACTTTCGCGTTTCGTCGAGTGAATGAAGTAGCCGGAGCCCAATTTTCAAACCGGGAATTTTGAAAACCGGCGTAAAGTGGAAGTATAATACTTTCGCGTTTCGTCTGGTGAGTGAGGTGGCCGGAGCCCAATTTTCAAAAGGTTGTCAACGCATCTGGAACCCTAAGATGTAGCAGATGTCCATGGGCGGCGGTATTCACTTACCATCAGATTAACCGTCTGCTCACTTGACAACTTTTCACATTAAAAAAAAACATGGGGCTCTTCAACCACGTCCAGCTATTTTTATCAGCGTGTTAGTACCCCTGATGTCAATATACTAGCCTCTAGATTAGTGTTTATCTACAGACACAAACGATGCATAAATTTACACCAACACCAACAGTAATCCACGCTATGGATTTAACTAAACTTCCTGATTTGTTAGACACTAGGTTATCGCGGCTTATTAGTCATTAAGTTGTATACTTAAGAAGCGATTTCTATCTTGTTTGCGATTGCAAAGGCCAAACTCATTTACTTTATCTTAGATACTTTAGATGTGAACTACAAATGTATTACTACAAACCGTACTATGTTACTGCGTTTTATATACCCCATTCTCGGCCCCGTACTTGTTCAACAATCGACTGATCCAGTGGCTTTGTGGTTGACGGCAGGTGTGTTAGGGTCATCGACTTTATGTATCATATGAACGTATCGCTTGTCGTTTAAAAATCGACCGCGTGGCACTGGTAATTGGGTTTGGATTTGTTTTGGGAATTAACAAGCTCCTGCCGCGACGTATCTTGACGACTGTGCCGTGTTAAGATTAACGAACGTTAGTGATTCTGCTCATTGATTTTGAATGAGTTCCACTTAAGTTATCATTTGCGCAGCGTCAATCGGTATTGAATTCGCACGACTCTTTAACGGAAGAAAACTTTGGAACTAGTGTGTTATTTCCAAAGATGGAATAGTTTAAAACCATTGAGAGTTAACGTGCTTGATGTTAATTGATAAAGTAAAAACTGTTTACGTTATCACTTAACATCAGTTACATTACCTTAAAATACCACTGGCAAGGTCCACGCAACACTCTTAACTGTTGCAACAATGGGCAGCACCATCCGGGGAAGTACCACAACCTCACTGAAGACAGACATAAAGTGGAAGTGTTATATTCCGCGTTCCGCCTGCTGAGTGATGTAACCGGGTCCCACTTTTTTAAAAGGTGGCAACACATCTGCAACCCTACGGATGTTGCAAATGTTCATGGGCGGTTGTTATCACTTAACATCAGGTGAAACGCAATCCAGAATATATATATGCATAAAAGAAAATATGCACTTACTCTGGTGTTGGTTATTTACCATTATCATTGCCACTTGTCTCCACAAAACTTAAAGCCATAACTTCACAAAATGAATAATAAAAGTTTTGATTATTAATGTGTAGTGCTTGTAACTAAAAAAAATGCTGTGAAATTAGTTGTGAGAGCTATTTCCTGCTTTAATAAGTGATTTGCTAAAAATAAAAAAAAGTGAAACAAGGAAAATTAATAATCTGAATAATTTACTATACAGAGATATGTAAATAATTTAACATAATTTACACACATGTAATTTATCAAATATAAATATTATAAAAAAAAAAGTAAATAAATAAATTCTGACCCAATCTATTTTAAGATTTCTATTTTTTATTTTATTTATTTATAATTTATGTACACAGGGTTATGGCAGAGATGTAAATAAATGAAATAATTTGTACAAAGGTCCTGCTTATTTCATAAGAAATTTTTTCCAGCAGATCTGTGACTGGAAATTGGTTACAGATGGTAGTTAATACTGTACATACATCAATTAAAATTTTTGCATTTTTTGACGTATAAAACTCATGTGACTACTAAAAGATGACAATTTGAAGTCAAGATGACTTTTTTTATTAATCTTTTATATTGTTTTACGAAAACAAATTATTTATTTCTATCCTTTAAAGTGTGGGCAAGTTAGTTTAATAAAATGTACCAGGACCCCATAATTTAAAAAGGACCTGCGAAACGATCAAAAAACTTGTGCCCCCGAGCGTTCCCTAATCAGCATAATAAATTGCGTATCATTGAGTGGTACGGCTCTAAAAGCTTCTATGACGCAGCAGATGTTAGAGCGGACCGGTAAAAAAGGCAGGTAGCATGGAAATCGGAATCAGGTGCGCGGCCGCACCTAGCGAGCCTCCGCGACTCTCTGACGGGCGGCGCGCGTATGCAGGTGCCGCCTTAGGAGGGGAGCACCTTACTCCACACCTTACAAATTCGAGCGGCTGCCAACGTCGCCACTAGCCACTTGGCATAAAGTCGCTAATCCCGCGCGCCGGCGGTAAACCGGCTTGCAGGGCTCGCTCCTCTCCTTTTTATCGAGCAAAAAATGAACTGTAAACGCGATCACGGCCGCGGCTAAGGTCAATGTTAGCGCTTCCTTCAGTGCACGTTCAGAGGAGAGCGCGCGCGCATCCTTCGCTCGCTAGTGACGTACCGTAGCGCGCGTGCGGGATGAACACTACCGGACGGGTTGAATGAACCGCGATAACAATATCGATGAGCCATCCTTAGCCGGCGGTTGATCCGGACGCGAGCTGATCCCGTGGACTAATCCCGCGGTCACCGCTAGATCGTTGCGATAAGAACTCGAAGACGTTACCGGACAATCGATCACGCGTGCCCTTCGTTGGCGACGTCCACCCGATAAAGGGATATACTCATTCGTACCGGGATTTTTGTTTGTCATAATTAATTTATCCCCATTAGCAGTGATGGAAGGGAACGGCCGCATTCCTGGGGACCACTCGTTTATAGCGTGCCGCCTGTAGGGCCACTGAACGTTTGCCTTTTTTAATCGTCTAATTTTGAATCAATCTCTGAGTAGGAACGTTATGTGCCAGTGATAATGGAGACTCTAGTTCTGATACCTCAGGAGTTGAGCTTAGCCCTAAGGCCGGGTGGTGCCAGGGGTCGCGAGGCATCCGTTAGCGTTTGGACCTCGACGGAGCTGCAACGGGGCTCCCTACTGTACCCATTCCAGGGTACCATAAGGATAGACAAGCTACACGTATATTCTTATGTTCCAGATCATGATGTGAGTATAATTTTTACACTTAAGATTAACAAACTGTTAAATCAGTAGCTGAAAAAATGTTTTTAGCCGATGATTTTATATAAATAATGCTTTAGCTGTTTACACGTAAATGAAATATTCGTCAATAACTTGTATATAAAAAAATACGTCCATGTTAAAAAGTCTTTCATTCAATCATTTTTTTTTTAAGAAATTACAAATAATGCAAACTAATAATAACTAATTAATTGTAATTACTAGGTAATTGGACTTATTTTTACAATGCTTCAAAGATGACATCCGCACATTTTTAATATTTTTGTAAATAGAACAATTCTAATATATCATTTAAATTCAAGTTTAATCATTGAATCGTCTCTTTATTAGTCTTATGTCATTCTTGAATAAATTAATCAACGAATTGATTTGCAGAATTTATGACAGAAATATTTCTTACAGAGAAATTTATAATATTATTAAGATTCATATTATTAAAAGTTCACAAAAATTAAATAGATCGAATATTAGTATCAATTTATTATAAATTAAAGTGGCTTAAATTACTTTATCGTTAATTAACATTTCTGTAACAAACGTAAAAACGTCTCGTAAAGAAAATAAATAACATTTTCTTAATTAACGATTATTTCTCGTAAACAAATACATTCTAGTGATTAAGTGTCGACCTTTCCGTGTTTTATTAAAGTAATAAGACCTTGAACATTTGAATAATTATTTTCTGTCCTATATTAGATTAAAATCACTTACTATAAAATGAAAAATATTTAAAAGATAAGAACTTAAACGTTGAAAGAAATATTGTAAGAACTATAAGATAAAATAATATTTACAGATAAATCTCATTGGAAATCATTTGTCATTGCAAACATTTCACAATTTAAATGGTTTAAAAACGTGGGACATTATTATTGATTTATTGCATTTTTAATTGAGTCATAAAATCCTTATCAGATTTGATCACATCGGTAGATTAAGCTTTCCGTCAGAAAATACGAGGTTGCTGGTAAAGGAGTAACATATAGTATGGCTGGTGGCTTTGAGGTGGTTGCTTTTCAGCAAACTTTAACGCCAGCTATTATTATATAATAGTAATAGAGAAGTAATGTAAGGTGCGAGCCATGATAGCTCATTGTCCGGACGCTAGTTTTTAATTTAATATACTCGAGCGTCCTTAGTTTGATCCCCTGTGCCGACCAATGAAATTTATAAGTGCTAGAATATTTTAAGTGCTGCTCTGCGGTGAGAGAAAATATCGTGAGGAAACCTGCATATTTTTGGAACAGCAAAAAAAATATTTCGAATAATTTAACATTTGAATTCTGACAATCTGCAGTGGCGTTTCGTGGTGGATTATGCCCTAATGACCTCTGTACAGAGGCGGCCTCTGCCCAGCAGTGGCACATATATAGGCTGTTACAATGTAAGTTGAAATCAATTATATCATTTGGCGAATGACCTCTGTACAGAGGCGGCCTCTGCCCAGCAGTGGCACATATATAGGCTGTTACAATGTAAGTTGAAATCAATTATATCATATGGCGAATAAATTCACCCGTTTAGAGGCATCTAAATCAATATTTCTTGATTATACATTAAAAAAACATAACCCTTACTTTATTTTTTTATTGCATAAAAGCTCTGGAAGTCTGGGGCCTTTTTAAACTTGTGATCTCGAGCAAACTGAGTTCAAATCAAATTCCAATTGGCAGTGATTTACCACGTTATGTAATAGGCATATTGAGGTATGTGGCATTTCAGATAAACTTATAATGTCCGTACATCTGCAATACAGCCGCTTAGTGGACCATGCTCAAATATCTTCTTGTATTTTGGCTTCCCAGCTGATATATTATGAATACGCTGTTTCTTCTACTTTGATTCGTTCCATTTAACACTTTATTTTTTAGCGTTTGTATCGCTAGTGAATCAAATCTGCACCTAAGGAAGGTCAACCAAGACAAAAAAAAAGGCTTAAGTATTATTTTTTGCGTTGTAATCTATCCCGTCAATCCGGAATTACAACAGCACGCCGTGGCACCTATTTATCTGCAAACTTCTGTTCTATTCTTAAATTTTTTGCAACAATGAATTTTTGATTGTCTCATTTCTCACGTACGAGAATCACTGTAAATTCATTTGTCTCATTTGACAACGACATATACTATCCAGTGAACGGTGCACTTCCTACGCCGTTGGGCTCAAGGTGCCTGAGTTTTCAGGAGAAGCCCGCTAACGAACATATTTCGTCATTTCAGAGTTCATTAAATAGTGATTGCTATAGGTCAAGAATATCAGCAGCACCTATTATGGGCTGCAGTTGCATTGCATTTAAGTCCAATTTCTAAAGTACTTCATTCACCAGACGAAGCAAAAGTGATGTCTTCTTCTCCTTCATTCTTCTGTGAGGCCAGATACGAAAAACTGTCTTTCTTTGCTGTGGTATGCATTTTGTTTATACGATAGACATATTTTCAGAGTGGTTCGAATTTAACATCGCTTCCTGCACCAACAGTAGCTTATTGAACAATCATGCGGTTAAAGTTACGATAAGGTTTTTGTTTGATGGCAAGCAAAAACAGTCATCTCGTTGGTAACCGACGTCGGACGTGGGCTGGCGAATATTGGAACTAACTGGGTGAGATTGCGGTTAAAGAAAGATTGTCCGTTCGGTCTTTAACCGTATCGGACGTAAAAGGTTAATGTCTTAACGAAAAAGAACTATCCGAATCGAATCGCAATTGAAGCAGATATTGGCGAAACTGACTTATATCCTAAAGTAAAGTAACATCCTATACATGTCCCACTGTTGGGCAAAGGCCTCCTCTATACAAAGGGTATATCCTATCTTACCATCATTAAGTTTTTATTTTTAATGCTATATGTCTCTGCAATTAAGAGGAATCTTAAAATTTATAGATAAATTGTTCATAGCTTAGCAAAAAGTATGATTTCGAATTCTGGCAAACATTTTTAGACGATTTATCTACACATTTTATACTTACGTACGTCTGCCCATGGTATTTCAGATACTCTCCTATTAATATGAATGGTTGTACCAGTTTAGATCATGAAATACTTGAGTAATAGACTTTCCGAAACAAATAACATTATTACTTATAGGCAATAACTTTCAGCAAGGATACAACGTACATACAACGATACTGGCCATCGTCAGAAGGAGCAGGACAGTTTTTGCCAACAGTCTGCCACCATCATCTAATTGTAACTTATTATAAATCATCGAGATTTAAACTATTCGGCTAGTAATACGTGAGTCAAAGTCGGAACCACTACGCCGTCACGTCTCCATTATAATTATTATCGAAAACAACACCTACGGGCGTTAGTTAACCGGAAGCGATCATATCGAAATTAATACAGGTGTTATAGGACCGCGTACTTTCTCTCCGTTCAACTGGTTTCGGCGAGTGAAGCCGGGCGCGCGGTGTTGTATAAAAAGCTATAATGGTCTCGCCCGCGCAATTACATCCAATGTTAATACTTTATTGATGGAATTATGTTATGGAATGCTGCGACGGCAGGAATATGCTTCCAATGTCGCTACGTGTATTCGTATTTCAGTGCGCTCGCTGTGGTTTGCACTTGAAGTTAGAGTCCAGTACAATATTTTGAAGGAGAATATTTTGAAGATGTCTGATTTTGCATGATGCATTATCCAAGCAAGTAGTGTGGTGGAAGTAACAATGCTGTTACGTTTGGAAGAGTCTTTTGCCTAGCAGTGGGATAGCAATCTAATCATGCTGAGAATTACAAATGAATAAATGTTAGCAAATAATGACTCTTTTTAATATCAAGACTCTTTTCTTTAAATTCTGTTCTAAATGAAATGATTACTTCTAACTTCAATTTTTTGACGTTAAACTGACAGGTTTAGCTACGTGATCTCTGGCTCTCATTCGTTAGGCATACTTACATTAAACCATAATATAGTTTTCATTTTGTAAAATGTCGATAACAAGGGGAATGTAAAGATGAGATTGATAAGATAAGGAAATGAATAATTGTAAGAGAGATGATAATAAGTAATTTTTTGGGGGTTCATAATTTTAAACTTATAAACACCCTTAGACAGCTCCATAATAATCAGGGTTACAATATTCGTATATTTGCGTTCGTCATAGCGTATTGGTAATTAATTTCACTTCGTTAGCCGTTCATTGAGCCCGCCACTGTAGAACGACTTAAGTGCTAAGAGTAAGCGGGTAAGTATGCATTATGTGCCTTATAGTGCCAACAAACAGTAATCGAATAACTGCTATTGATTTATCGTCTGGGGAAAAAACAATATGTGAATATGTACTTCAATCAGCCAAATTAAATTGAACTAACAGCCTCCTCTGTACAAAGCGTAACAAGCCCACTGCGATTGGTCAACTTCACATGTCTTAGAAATATTTTTTGTTAACAAAATTAGTATTTTATTGAACATATACAGGTTTCCTCACGACGTTTTCCTTCACTGTTGAGCACGTGATAATACAGCGCATAAAATTGACAATTTCATTGGTGCTTGCTACGGGACTTTAACTCAGGTTACTCGAGTAAGTTGCATTAAAAGTGAGCGCCCGGACGCGCTAACAAGGCTCTTCAGCTATCTGTATATAAGTCGTTTAAAATTTTAAATACCCTAAAACGAGTAAGAGCTTAACTAAAAAGTAAAAAGTCACAAAAAGTCACAGGTGAATAAAGCGCTTCAGTCTGTGACTTGCACTGCAGAAACTAGTAGCTTTTTGTGGCTTTCGAAGCACGCGCCGCTCCGTTCATTACCACCGGGGCTTTGTTCCATACAAGAACCTAATTACGATTGTTCGAAACATTTTGACAACGGCCATTTATAATGGCGTTACCCCGTCTCTATCAGTGCATTCAAATTTGGAACAGTTCGGTAGATTCGTCTGGAACGTATCGTTTGGAAACGAAGTGATATTAATGCATCGCTAACTGTTTCTTTGTTACCGCGTTTACCGGCTTTCATTTTT